ACCTGTAGTTCCAGCTACTTGGAAGGCTGAGGCGGAAGGATCGCCAGAGCCCAGCAGGTCGAGGCTGTGGTGGCTGGGAGCGACCACTGCACTCTAGTCTGGGTGACAGTGTGAGACTCCAACTCAAGAAAAAAAAAAATCCACTTACAGGCCCCACATCCCCCAGGCAGAGTCCTGGGGTAGAATTACAGGGAAAAAAATGTGAAGTACTTTTATAGAACATTCTCCACAAACATTTACTACATATGTACAGGATTACGGAGTAAAAAACATAAAAAGAACCTATACCTGACTTTGTAAATATCTTGTCTGCAGCTGGAACAAGAACGCTGCCTGTAAGATTAAACAGAAAAACACATCCCATTCATATAAAAATATAATTCCGACAGTTCACTTCAGTTTAATAAGATACATCCTCTTGACGCAGGACCTCAAATTCGCAGAACTAGACCCACCACAAACAATGCTAGGACGCTAAGTACTTGGAACTTTCCAGAGAAGATAAAAGATTTACTCCCTGACACAGACAAATTCCAACTGGCTGAAGCAGAAGCCACTGCCTTGACACTTTGAGCAGCTCCTCGGGTGCTTGCTGGCAGCACCTCTCCAAATCCCGGATGATTCCAGGAAATATTTGGGTTAATTTGCAATCAGAGGTGGCCATAGAATAAGGAATCAGGAAGGCCATGTTGTCTTCTCTTCATCAGTTTGTGTTTAACTGAGGCCACTGGACGTGAGAGGGGTACAAGTTCTGACAACCAGTAAGGTAGGGACCACAGGTCCAAGAAGCACACACCGAGCTTCTGCAGAACAGCACAATGACTGGCAAACAGAAAAGGGGGCCGGAGGGGTACGCGCAGGGGGACCACTCACGCTGCTCCACGTAATGAAACACAACAAAAGCCTTGAAACTTACAGGAAGGGCAGGAATAAAAATCATCACATAAATTTGGGCTATCCTGAAATAAACAACAAAATAGCCTTCAGTTAATATTAAAACAATTGCCGGTTATACAGTCTTCAAGTCAAACCCACAGAGCATTTGTCAAAAAATTAAAACTAGAAATATTTCCTATGGGAGAAAATTAATAACAATTTTAAGTCTCTCTCTGCAACCTACGTCAACATTTAGGCGTGCTAAATGTCTATTTTCTAAGGGGAAACCTGATCACTTTATATTTTTCAGTTCATTCTTACTTAGCATGAAAGGCAGAATGAACACACACAGCCAAGTAAACTAAAACTTGGGCAAAATTCAGAAACCTTTTGAAAGCATCAGGGCTACCTCACAGTGAGCAAGACCATCTTCTGCAAAGGACCACACACCACAAGGACAATACCAGACAGCACACTGGAATTATGGGTTTCAAAAAAAAAAGGCCAGGCGCAGTGGCTCATGCCTATAATCCCAGCACTTTGGGAGGTCAAGGTGAGAGGAATGCCTGTGCCCACAGGTTCAAGACCAGCCTGGGCAACTTGGCAAGACCTCATCTCTACATTAAATCAAAAAATTATCTGGGCATGGTGGTGCGTGCCTATAGTCCCAGCTACTTGGAAGGCTGAGGCAGAAGAATCGCCTGAGCCCAGCAGGTTAAGGCTGCAGTGGCCGTGAGTATACCACTGCACTCCAGCCTGGGTGACACAGTGAGACTCCAACTCAAAAAAACAAAAACAAAAACAAAACAAAAACAGTGGGTGCAGTGGCTCACACATGTAATCCCAGAACTTTGGGAGGCTGAGGTGGGAGGACTGCTGGAGCCCAGGAGTGTTGAGAGCAAACTGGGCAACATAGCAAGACCTCATCTCTACCAAAAACCAAAAAAAATTAGCCAGGCTTGGTGGTGTGTTCCTGTAGTCTCAGCTACTTGGAAGGCTGAGGCAGAAGAAATGACTGAGCCTAAGAAGTCAAGCCTGCAGTGAGCTGTGATCATGCTACTGCACTCCAGCCTGGGTAACAGAGTGAGACTCTGACTTAAAAAAAAAAAACACAAACAAACAAAAAACTCTAAAATCATAAGTGAAGGCAATTATGTTACTATTTCACTTTATCAGGTGGAAAATATATCATACATTTGCAAGACAGCAAAATGAAGGAACTTCATGATAGAGAGATAAGGTGAGCGCATGATGCCCTGATCCTGCATCTTGTCACTCTGGGTCAGGCAGTTCCTGTAGCCCCAGGACTCTGGCTCACAGTCACAGTTTCCATTTTTGAAAGACTCCAAGATCAGGTAACCAGCTGAAAATGTCCATGTAGGTATGATGCCCAGACAGCCACTTACTCTTAACCTAGGGTTCTGAAATTGGAGACCTGACCTGGAGACTTCAGGGTCTTGTCTTAAGAGAAGGAGGATGTGCTCGGTATTGATGAAGATGGCCCAGCAGGGAAAGCAACACAGCATCAAGATGAGAATTCCTCTTTGAAGGATGATCCCCACGCGTTTTAGGTTCTTGCCTCCATAGGACTTGAGAAAACAAAAAAGCAATGCTAACAGAGTACCAGGCAGGTCAAGGTCTGGAGCATGCACCACATGCAGCCTCTCCCAGGGGTGCCCTGCCTATAGCCCCGATGGCCCAGGCAGCCCATTTTCCACTGCCCACTCCTCCCAGCTACAGCTGATGGCAAGGGAAGAGCTTCTGAGCCAACGGTAGCCAATGAGCTAGCTGGCCCCTATGGCATTTTACAGGTGTCTTGGGACAACAGGACCCTGTTTCCAGGAACTATGACAGTTAACATGGAAGGTAATGGCAGCAGAGACTGAAGCTTAAAAGAGAGTTTTCAACACAAGGGGAGACAGAAGCTGCAGGACAGGATGTGCCATGGTAGAAGGTGAAGTCATAGGGGAACTCAGAGGGCCAGGGATACCAGAGGGCAGAGAAAGAAAAACACACCATAGGCCAGGCTCGGTGGCTCAGCCTGTAATCCCAGCACTTTGGGAGGCCGAGGTGAGTGGATTGCCTGAGCCCGCAGGTTCG